ACCAACCACACACCCCTCCACTATAGCAAAGATACATAAGATATTATCTGTGTTCAGTGCAGAAGATAAATTTTGATTTAATGATATATGCCACCTTACACAATAAACTTGAATAGTTCAGAGTTTTCGCCTCCCGTTTAAAACTCTTTAATTAACCGTTTGTCTAACGATACAGGTTTTGTAATGTGGAACTCTTTTTAAAAATGATACATTTCAACGTAGGGTAGCATACTGCATTAAGAAGAACAGATGTTTATCTGTATAAATAATGAATGAAATGTTTCATTTTAACGGATGTTTCGAGAAATGTAATACATAGAGGATATTTTATAGCTTTATTATCGTTCAGACAAAAAAATCATATGAGTGAAGCACGTGTAAAAAGATAGCTGAATCAAAAACAGTTCTTAGTGTTATTACTAAAATATCAATGTTGACGCATCACGCCTTTGTTACACGCTAGTTGTGTTGGATGGTCAGGGAAATAATCAAATGATCCTGGCAGCTCGAATATAACTATGACCTTAGGACAAGAGCATGCACAGTGTTGCACATCCTTGTACAACACAGCGGCTGGTTAATACTGTGATGATATTAAGAAATCAATAGAAATGAACGTTAAGAATATTATGAGTGTTAGAATACAACATATCGGCATGCATTTACTTGTAAAATGGTGTGACAATGGCCTTGAAACGAAGTTTAGGAACGGAACAAAAGCCAACAAAATTTAGAGGTTAACATAATTATATAGATGTGTGTGTAAGGATAGGATCCCAAAATTTAACCAGGATCAAAGTTTTATAGATTGATCAAGTGGTGATTTCACTTGACGATTGAAACAAAAATACTGAAATTAGATCATTACAACGAAAAAAAGTCTACCAATCATTTCTTAAACATGTTTTTTGCCCAATCGCAATATCTTGATCTCGGCAAATTCCGTCAAGACTCAGAATCAACCCGATCAGAATTGAGATTTTGTATTCTAACTTGAGTTGTGTCATTCTTTTTCTTTCGTTAATACAGAATTGATTTACTTGAACTTTCAGCGGTTCAGAGTCGAGACACCGGTCATGTGCACTCTGATCTCTGCTTGACAAAGGAAACAGACGTTTTCGAAAGTTTACTGTCTGTGTTCAAAACAAACTTATAATTAGCATTTAAAGTCAAGGTTGTTTTTCGTTTTCTGCGCACATTTCTGACGGACGGATGGACAAATGATCAAAATTCTTTCAAAGACCTATACTCAGTGGACAACTAAAAGCACGCACAGGAAAAGCAGACGACAGGTTTAATACTGGACAGTAATTAGAGAAGTTCTCATTTGGTGCCCGCCTACGTCATAACATATTTAAACGTGATGTGCCTTAATTATATAAGTACTTAAGTATCGGCTGTGTTCGTATCAATAAAAACAGTTTAGTGGGCATAAGGCTTGAAGCCTTACAGTCTTGACAGAAAGCAGGCGTTACAAACCACGTTCTTGTCGAGAGTTGGGTTGTGTCAGCGACGCCGTGACGTGACGCCACGCCACATCAGCTGATTCTGAGGTGTTTTGGGTGCAATGACTGCTTCTGGACTTTGTAAACCAACTTTTAACAGTTTTATAAGGTTATACAAAAAAACATTACTTACGCGTTTCTTCTCAAGTGGAAATATACCTTTTTATACTTTTGCAGTGGAAAGAAACTTTCATACATTGGTATTTCTGACTTCGAACATAAATATAGACACAACATATCCTATGCCTATATTCTAATATGTAATTAGTAATTACATATTAGAATATAGGCATAGGATATGTTGTGTCCATTACCTGTGGCCCAGAGGGCCTGTNTTAAAATAATTGGTATGAAGTAAAGATATAGCACTCCATGGTAGGTGCTGTAAGTACATATGAAATTTCAGAAAGATCCATCCAGTACTTGAGATATAGCAAGAACAAACTTCAAACAGACCCCCACCCCTATGCCCCTTGGGGGGTCATACCCACCAATTATACAAAATTGAGACCCCTTGGTCCAAGGATGCTCCAGACTAAATATGGATAAAATCCCTTAATCCCGATGGTCGAAGAAGGATTTTAAAGGTTTTACCTCTATTTCTCCTATTGGGCCCCACGTGCACCCTTCTGCCCCCTGGGAGACCACACCCACTGCTTATACAAAATTGAGTCCCCTTGGCCCAAGGATGCTCCAGACTAAGTTGGGTTAAAATCCCTTAATCCCTATGATAGAAGAAGGATTTTAAAGGTTTTACCTCTATTTCCCCTATTGGGCCCCGACTCTCTGCCTCCAGGGGGTTAGACACACCGTTTATACAAAATTGGTTCCCCTTCACCCAATGATGCTTCATACCAAATTTGGACAAAATCCTGTCATTCGTACAGTAGAAGAAGGTATTTGAAGAATTTGCTATGTTTCCCCTATTGGGCCCCTCCCTTCTGCCCCCAGGGGGCCACACTCGCTGTTTATACGAAATTGAGTCCCTTTTGTCCAAGGATGCTCAAGACTAAATTAGGATAAAATCCCTTAATCCATATGGTAGAAGAAGGATTATAAAGGTTTTACATCTATTTCCCCTATTGGGCCCTGCCCCTCAGGTCCCAGGGGGCCACACCTACGGTTTATACAAAATTGGTTCCCCTTCACCCAAGGATGCTTCAGACCAAATATGGAACAAATCCTTTCATTCCTACAGAAGAAGAAGGATATTAAAGAATTTGCTATATTTCCCCTATTGGGCCCCGTCCCTCAGCCCCAAGGGGGGCCACACCCACCATTTATACAAAATTGAGTCCCCTTGGCCCAAGGATGCTCCAGACTAAATTGGAATAAAATCCCTTAATCCCTACGGTAGAAGAAGATTTTCAAGGTTTTACCTCTATTTCCCCTATTGGGCCCCACCCTCTGCCCCCAGGGGGAGCACACCCACCGTTTATACAGGGCTAGTAGCGTTTTGAAGGAAAGTTGACGGACGGATGACGGATGCTGCGGTGACCAGGTGAGCTAAAAATTGCATAGTTATAGTACGTATCAATACATATATATATATCTTGTGTACCCTACATAATAACCAACTCGCTCTCTCTCTGTTGCCATTACACAAGATGCATGGCATGGCCATCAACAAAGTATCCCCTGCGTTGTATTAAATGACACACAATTTAAGGTGATTTAATCCTCCTTATTTATTCAGATTTATTTATTATTTTTTCATTATTTATTCATGTTTTCAATGCATTTTCATATAGCAATATTGATGTATTTTTGAATTTTTATCATCAATTTGACATTGAAAACACCTCTTGTTTCGATGATTAATATTTTTAAAAATATGTGAAACTTAAATATGTTGATTGACTATTTATGAATATTCTGTCATGAATTTTGTCGGTTCAGAGATTGGCAACTATGATTCTGAATAAGAACAGGAAGCGACCGAGTTGGATATATATATAACCTTAGCCTTAGGTAAAATAACATATAATCATAATACAGACCACATGATGCATCGGTATGAAAAAAAAAATAACGACACATTCAAGCTATGGCAACATCACCTACAAAGACAATTGAGGAAAATCCAGGTGTTCCGGAAGGGTAACCGTTTCCTGCATCACATGTGGTCCTGTCAAGATGTGTCACGTCAAATACAGTTTGGTTTGGTTTGGTTTAGTATTGTTAAACGTCCTATCAACAGCTATGGTCATTTAAGGACGGTCTCCCCCATGTGCAAGATGCATGCGTGTAGTGTATGCGTGTGTGTTGTAGGAGGCTGCAATATGTTTGTGTTGGTCTCCTTGTGATAGCGCAGAACTGATGCCGACTTTATAGTGCTACCTCACTGAAACATACTGCCGAAGACATCCAGGAGGACACCCCACCCGGTCGCCTTATACTGACAACGGGCGAACCAGTCGTCCCACTCCTAAATTGCTGAGCGTTAAGCAAGAGTAGAAACTACCATTTTTACAGACTCTGGTATGTCTCGGCCAAGGGACAGAACCCAAAGCCTTCCTCACAGGGGCGAACGCTCAACTAAAGGCCAAAAGTGAGGCATTGTCAAGGGAGATATTAGGAAGAAGAAAGATGTTAAGAAAGAAGAGAAAAGATAAGATCCCAAATTTAGTCGCCTCGAGATCTTTTGAACATGCAATGGGGGCAGCAGGTACAATTCTTACTCCCTTCCTGCAGGAATATCAAATACAGTTAAGTGGGATTTAAGCAACGGTCAAATAAGACGAGGTGAACAAAACCTCAAAGAACAGTATACGATGAAATACAATTACTGTAACATTTCTACCGTCGGCGGATCTAGTGGGGATGGGGTCACAACTCCCTCAAACCTTTTGTGGAGAAAACAAAATTCTAAGGTCACCCCCCCCCCCCCCCCCCCCAACCAAACTGCTGTAGTAGTAGACACTCACTGCTGATGTTATTCTGTATGTAAATATCAACAGATGAGGCTAGAGAAGAGGAGCTGTATATAACATGTAGTGCATGCAGATTGAAGAGTTGGAAGATTAATGAAACGCAATTTGTTCTTGATTTTGTTGTTGTTCAAAGATATAACACGATAATCACTGATATTGTTTGAATAAAGATTGTTTTTATTGAAAAAAAATACAAAGCGATAGAAAGGCACAACATTCAGTTTGCTTATTGAGGTAGTACAACTAACATATGAAAATTTCACTATGTTTTACCACACTTAAAAATTATTAATAATATATACATGTGTGTGTATGAGTGTGTGATGCATGTTATCTGCTATACTGTCACTCCAACAAAAATGCACTAGTCTTTTTTTCTCTCATATAAATACAATAAAAATGTGCAGTTTGATATAAATAACATACATTGTTTAGTCACCTTAAAATATGAACAATATCTAACAAGATTGCCAGGATTATCTCCCCTATATAGAATGTGGTCGCACATGATAATATAATTGTTCAACATGTATAAGCATATAAAAAAAACATATTTTACAGCCACATAGTCAGGACTAATGAGTATATAATGTATTTATATGAAAACAAAAACGATTGCTTCCCTATATATCTTTTCCTACAACAGTCTACGTACTCTCACACCTTTCCGATTCTTCTTTATGACAGCTTTTAATTACATGTACTTTCGTTTCTTCCCTATATTTCCTCACAACATGCTGACCAACATACTCTTGTCCTTTACCTAATTAGTTACAACAGCCTACTCTCACACCTTTCCAATTCTTCTTTATGACAGCTTTTAATTACATGTACTTTCGTGTCTTCACTATATTTCCTCACAACAGGCTGACCAACATACTCTTGTCCTTTACCTAATTCGTTACAACAGCCTACTCTCACACCTTTCCAATTCTTCTTTATGACAGCTTTTAATTACATGTACTTTCGTGTCTTCCCTATATTTCCTCACAACAGGCTGACCAACATACTCTTGTCCTTTACCTAATTCGTTACAACAGCCTACTCTCACACCTTTCCAATTCTTCTTTATGACAGCTTTTAATTACATGTACTTTCGTGTCTTCCCTATATTTCCTCACAACAGGCTGACCAACATACTCTTGTCCTTTACCTAATTCGTTACAACAGCCTACTCTCACACCTTTCCAATTCTTCTTTATGACAGCTTTTAATTACATGTACTTTCGTGTCTTCCCTATATTTCCTCACAACAGGCTGACCAACATACTCTTGTCCTTTACCTAATTCGTTACAACAGCCTACTCTCACACCTTTCCAATTCTTCTTTATGACAGCTTTTAATTACATGTACTTTCGTGTCTTCCCTATATTTCCTCACAACAGGCTGACCAACATACTCTTGTCCTTTACCTAATTCGTTACAACAGCCTACTCTCACACCTTTCCAATTCTTCTTTATGACAGCTTTTAATTACATGTACTTTCGTGTCTTCCCTATATTTCCTCACAACAGGCTGACCAACATACTCTTGTCCTTTACCTAATTCGTTACAACAGCCTACTCTCACACCTTTCCAATTCTTCTTTATGACAGCTTTTAATTACATGTACTTTCGTGTCTTCCCTATATTTCCTCACAACAGGCTGACCAACATACTCTTGTCCTTTACCTAATTCGTTACAACAGCCTACTCTCACACCTTTCCAATTCTTCTTTATGACAGCTTTTAATTACATGTACTTTCGTGTCTTCCCTATATTTCCTCACAACAGGCTGACCAACATACTCTTGTCCTTTACCTAATTCGTTACAACAGCCTACTCTCACACCTTTCCAATTCTTCTTTATGACAGCTTTTAATTACATGTACTTTCGTGTTTTCCCTATATTTCCTCACAACAGGCTAACCAACATACTCTTGTCCTTTACCTAATTCGTTACAACAGCCTACTCTCATGCCTTTCGTTACTTCCTTACCACATACTACTCTGTGCCTTTCCCATACTTCCCTACAACAATCTGCTTTATCATACCTCTACTGAAAATCCTGTAATCTGATTGTTCAAGGCAAATTTTTCATTTCACACTATCACATTATATTTAACATTGAATCAATGGAAGGGTGCTTCCCAACGCACTAGCAACACGTGACAGTGCAAAATAGTGACTGCGCAAAGAAGATGCGCGTATGGTTCGTTTTAGCTGCCCCATTGACTTCGGTTTAATGAACTAAATACTTGCACATTCAACAGAGTGTGACAATGCTCATAGGGTCACATTACATTACATTACATTACAACACCATACTCACATGTCTTACATACACCTGTCGTAGACTTAATGATTTGCTTGTTAAGTTTGATACGATTACTTGAATTACACATGTAACATTATAAAAAATGAAAACTTTTAATGTACAAAAAAAACCTTTTTCAGCTTATAACTTAAAAACGTAAAGAAAATTATTGAAACTTACAAATAACACATTTATGAAACACAGAACTTTGATAATGGTTTTAGGCTTTCATCTTGATCTACACAGATAAATACTATAAATAATTATCCTATTATATATATCCTATACATATTATACAGTAGGTATTGCAGTTATCTATTTCTGTAGTATAAAAATAGTGAATTAAAACGTACCTGGAACTTAGTTGTGAGATTTCATTTTTTTTAATCACCTGCTGATTTAAAACTTGTTTTTGAATAGTTAAAATCAATACATTTCATTGATGTTTCATTTCATTATCTGAAATATTTTCCTTTTCTATAAATAAATCAACTTCCTGAAATGTGAAAATTGAGAATAGTGATGATTTGTTAAAATTATCAAGGTTTTTAAAATTTACTTATCAACAAAAACTAAATTAAAAAAAATTCTATAATTATAACAAAACAACAAAAAATGTACTTTTTTTCCCTCTTTTGTGTAAAACAAGTAAACAACTGATTTTTTTTAAGTAAATGAAGTTTTTAAAAAGTCCTGTCTTAACTCTGACAATTGTACTTAAAATAACTGAGATTTAACATTCAAGATTTAGAAAAAGATAGCAATACTTACTTAAATATTAATTTTGACTCTGGTAAGTAAAGCTCACACATTTTAAACATAATCTGACTCATGATCAGGTTTAGTTTAATCTCAAAGCAATACATTATCCACTGAAATTTGGTTACATAATTACAATAAAAAATAGTAAAAATTAAATAATCAAATATTTGAAACATTGCTAAAACCCTAGCTTTTTCCTACCACTCCAGAGAAGTCCTTCCATCATTTCATACATAGGGAAGAAACTGTTTATTCCTAGGAAAACAGCTGCTATACCTATAATTATTGCCAAGAATAATGATGGTTTTTCATAGAGGTCTCCAATCCATAGTTTCACTATGGAGATCTCATCCAGGACGTGACGAATGTCCGGAGAAAATAACTTGTCCATGAATTCCAGGTTGGAGAAACTGTAGTCTCCGCTGGCGCTGTTCTGCCACAACGAGTAGGATGTGTCCGCGTTTATTCCCAGACATTCCAGGAATTCCTGTTCCTTTTTTTTCAAATCTATTTCCGTCGTGGAAACCAAGTCGTGCTTTGACAGTAAACCAAAAATTGGAATATCTGAAAAATAAATAGTTGTTCATTTAGATGTAACAGACACAAGATCTATTTTCTACAAATATGTACTGTATATGTAATAATTGTAGGGAAAGGGAAAAAAAGAAATAATACATAAGTGTTATTTGTTTTCATTTTTAAAACCTGATTAAATGTTTAAAAAACAAGAGGCCCATGGGTATTAATGAGCACCTGAGTCCTTCAGTATTTTGTTGTTGTTGTTAAAATAATGATGTCAAAGGAGAATAGTACATTATTTGTCATACAAAAAAAAGGTATTTCACCAGTGTGAGGTCCATCAGTCAATTATTACTACCAAGTTGGAGTAACATTGGTCAGACTAGTTAGCTTTATCAAGCCATTTCACTCTGCAAACATTCAAAATATTAGAAGTCTTTGAAACAGAAATATTCGTGTTGTTACAATCAGTTGTACTTTTTATCTTTGCTTATTAAGAACGATTCTTTTTTTCTTTTGTGAATAATTAATTAAATCTCTGGAGTTTAGAAAAGGGACTTGTGTCAATCCAGCACCAGACACGCAAGATCTTCAGGGCTTGTCAATATGTAAGTGTAAAATTGGACAAGTGAGTTTTTAGGGACCTGTGTAAGTCTACCACCAGAAAACCTTGTCTGTCAACTTAGTTCAAACAATATTTTTTTTATCCAATAATCAACAATATTACATAAACGATTAAATATGGGACGGGAAAACAAGCTTGGAGCTTAAATTAATTCCTTTCCCAAACACATCAAAAGGCAAATGAATCTTCGGTACTGGAGAACACCTTATTTCAATATGGAATGAATAATAATAAAGTTTAACAGATAACATATATACATGTACATGTGTTGAATAGAATTGATTATAGACATGATTTATGATGCCATAAATTGCTAGTCTGTAAGTACAGGTCACCTTATTGTACAGAGTACCGTTAAATGATACAATGATGTCTGTCAACTTACATCTGGGGTTGAGGCATGTCGCGCTGCCGTCGGGCTGGGCCACACTTTTTACACATTCTATAAGTGCGGTGGGAATTCTATCTGTGGCACTTGCCACAAACAGTATCTTATGGATCCTTCGCCCCCTGTACACCAACGGGAACATGCGCTCTAGTCTACGGTCTCCCTGAGTCCTTTGGACATCTTGGATGGCAGGAATGGAAGTTTTATCCCAAATTTTCCCAGTAATTATCATGTCCAGTAGCTTCCTCTGCTGGGCTGAGTCTTCATTTCCTAGTCCAGTCATGTCCACCAGGTTTGGAAAATATTTCGGTACTCTCATCTCCTTCATCCTTTTCTCATCAATTCGACATTTGTTATACCTATATCAGAGTATACCAAGAACAGATTTATACTTACATTAGTGTACGTTATACCTATATCAGAGTATACCACGAACAGATTTATACTTACATTAGTGCTATTACCTATATCAGAGTATACCACAAACAGATTTATACTTACATTAGTATTATACCTATATCAGAGTATACCAATAACAGATTTATACTAACATTAGTGTTATTACCTATATCAAAGTATACCAATAACAGATTCATACTTACATAAGTGTTATACCTATATCAGAGTATACCAAGAACAGATTTATACTTACATTAGTGTACGTTATACCTATATTAGAGTATACCAAGAACAGATTTATACTGACATTAGTGTACGTTATACCTATATCAGAGTATACCAAGAACAGATTTATACTTACATTAGTGTACATCATACCTATATCAGAGTATACCACGAACAGATTTATACTTGCATTAGTGTTATACCTATATCAGAGTATACCAAGAACAGATTTATACTTACATTAGTGTTATTACCTATATCAGGGTATACCGATAATAGATTTTAACCTACATGAGTGGTATTAAGATATTTAAAATATTAGAAGTCTTTGAAACAGAAATATTCGTGTTGTTACAATCGTTGTATTTTTATCTTTGCTTATTAAGAACGTTTTTTTTTTTTTTGTGAATAATTAATTAAAACTCTGGAGTTTAGATAACAGATTTACCTAGATTTTTACTTACATTATTGTTATACCTATATCAGAGACAAGACACTGATCTAACAAAGAGAACTACCAGAAATACAAAATATTGCATACCAGGCCCCTATTCACCTCAGCTTAATTGTTTGCCTTCTTTCACCATCTGTAATGAATTTACCATTGTAGGGCGAAACTTTGACTACCCAGTAAACAGTACAAGGTTGTTTCAGTTTGAAAAAGTAGAAATCCATCTTGTCCATTTTTATTAAAATAACTAGTGTTTGATATATGTTATATAGCTACCTCCAGACTCTTAAAATATCTTATGTAAACTACAGAGGAGTTACCTTATAGGTCTGCTGGATAAACGAACTACTCGGTAGTGAAGCGGACGTAAAACCTATCAATCAAACAATCTATATACCATATAAGATGTGTCGTGGTTCTTTTGCCGGACTCTCCAGACTGGGAACCTACAGGAGCACGATAAAGCCTCTCCCCCGACAGGGAAGCACACATGGTGTTGATGGTCGCAGACTTTCCCGCCCCCACGGCCCCAATTAGGAGGATGTTCTCCTCCTCACTGGCCTTTGCGTATCGCTCCATAAACCTTTTAGGAGATGGCAACTGTGATCCGGAGAACTTCATAATGCCTGTTTGTTTACTGTGACTGAAATAGAACACAGGTACACAATAAAAGTTCTGACAGGAAGATTGTTTCTGTACCGTTATTGTATAATGAAAACTATATCATCAAATCCTCGAGTAATTCATGGGCTAATCCAGAGGATGGGGTCAAAGGGGTCTAACCCCATTTCTTTTAGTCATCGAAAATTTGAATTTCGAGTAAAGTTGTATTTAAACATAATAATGATTTCTCCGCTAAATGTTAAAATAATCTGATTCTCACTTGCATAGTTTTATTTACTTTAATACTCCCCACATTTTTCAAATTATATTGTGTATTATATCTATAAGTTATTTTAAGGGGACAGGTTCCAAACATTTTTTGAAATTAATTTTTGCTTGTGACCAGAGCTCTTCGATATGTGTTTTCTTTTTTCCCCTCCTTACATTAATCTGCATTCCACCTCTGGTGTATTGTCACAGATCATTTTTTATTCCCCGGGGGTGTGGGGGAGGGAGGCATGCCTGATGACCCCATCACCCCACCTCAGTGTTGAGTTTTACACAGTACTAGCCTTATGTCTGTCAAAACACCCATACTATAAACTTTATAATATGGGTGTATTGACAGGTGAGGCTTTAAGTAAACTCCTAGAGTTGAGCTTTTGATACATAGGTAAATTTGACAAGAATATGACCATCCTAAAGAAGATTTTGATTTGCTACAATGTAAGAGTTAGTTTCCTTCCACCAAATTGATAATATATATGGGATACTCACATGCATTATGATTAAACATTTCATAATTTTGTTTGCATCTTACAGATGTCTTTAATATACAATCAGTTAAGTATGCAATGTCAGAACCAATAATGTAAACACATAGCATAAAACAAATTTGAACGATGCATTTCTTAATAATGTACAGGTAAACTGAAAGTAGAAAGCGTTTACATACCATTTCAACTCTACATACTCAATACGCCGGAAATTCTACACCTGATAAACTTACACTGTCGGCCGCACAAATAATGTTGAATATTACTATTAATATGTTACATTTAGTGTCGCTTTTGTTTGCATTGTAACCATGTATACGGAAGTACACACATACATGCAGTTTGGATATAGGCCTAGGCCTATAACATACATTTTCACAATGGCTACTAAAAATCACCTGGCATATTCACGATTTCTTACCTTTACTAAGCAGGTTAGTTTCCCACGCCGTGTCAGGTCTAAATTATCTACCAAGAGGAAGTGACACTATACTCTAGCTAGTTATTGCACAATATTTCACAACAGTCAGCACAGTTTCGGTCCAAGTAATGTGTATATTTAGGTTTTGTGTACGTATGCACTGATAACGGTAATGCTTATAATCGAATTGGACCAAGTGACATGCAATGAAAAATGGGGAAAGTATTTAGTATTGGTATACAAGGAGAGTACTGGGATGTCATGCTAAATATTTTCAAGATGCAACTGATGCTTACTTCACACAAAAATCCGAAACAGAGGCTCAGGTGTACAGAGTAAGGGAAGTAACCCGTATATGTCGTCGATGAGGTGGCGCAATGGGAATAATTTTAATCCAATTTCCACTGAGTTATAGTTTATGTGCAAGTAAATTAGCATGATGACCACGGTCTTTTTGTTATCTTTTCTGGTTGATGAAGTAAAGACAGTTTAAACGGAAACAATAATGATGAATGCCATCAGACAAGGCCGAACATGTCATCTAGATATCAATTGTTTTCAGTCTCTCCGCTAGAAACACTTTAATTGGGTATATTATTGGGTAATTTGGATGCCTGAGTAGCCGTGATCGCTAACGCGAATAGTCATTTCTACTATGTGCAATATAGCGATTACATTGCAGGATAATGCTTCATGTCCCAATTATGACAGCGAAAGTATTCCAATTTCATCTAGAAATAACGGGTGCATGCTATATGTTCATTAGATTTATTTGTCTGTAGATCTGTTCAGAGTTCTACAAGTAGTTATACACAATACAGGTAATTATTGCCGATTTTGATGTCTTGTATTTTCATATAAATACAGTAGTGTAAAGAAAATGCACGGCCAGACTGGGGTTCGAATCCGGGAGCCTCAGACCTCTAGATGGACGCTCTACCAATTGAGCTACATAGGCCTGGTCGCCGACGATCGACCCAGTCCAGTTCTGCTTCATAATTTTAACCATAAATTGATGTATAAACTTCGTATTTGATCCTCAAAATTAAGATTTATATTTTCAACAGGTGGCTGCCTCCAGCAACATGATTAATTGATTATAACATCACATTTGTATGACGCCATGATCATCTCGCTTGTGTTAAATTTCAGAGTGCTTGAATGTGATAACCATTTTTGGAGAGGGAAATGCGACACAACCAGCTTGCGAAATAAAGGCATAAATATTGGACTTAATAGACATAATTTGGTGTAGACAAACAGAAATTTGAAAAAAAAAGGCTATCATCAAGGGACATAATTATCTATTCTATAATTTTCTTCTATCCGAATTATCTATTCGGGTAGAAGAGACTGAAACATCAGAAAACAGCTGTCAGCGAGCTCGAGGAGGACCAATGCTAAGATAGGAGGGAACCATAATACGTCACGGGAAGAAATGGTATGGGAAACATACATTGAAATGGAGGGCTGCTCAATAAACAACTTTGTACATGTAATTGGTCCAAACACACAATGACCACGTTGCCACCAACAAGAAATGGACAAGTTCACTCCAACACGTAAGAGTCAGAAGAAGGGGAGGCGTCCGAATTATCGAAGGGGTCATCATCTGGTTGTGCCCAACATGAAGCTGATACTGAAGAATTTAACAGTGCACATGCCTGAAATAGCCAAAAGTGGCACATACATGACACCTTTGCTTACTAAAGAGACTTGCGACATTGGTAGACCTCACATAAAGCACGGAAAACAAAATGGAAATGAAAGAAGGAGTATACAGAGGCGTGGGTGATCACGTGGTGCAGTGGATAGCGCACTTGCCTTTCACCAAGCCGCCCGGGGTTCGATTTCCCGATCGGACGTGAAAAGGTTTGGGTCACCTGCCCGACCACGTCAGTTTTCTCCGGGTACTCCGATTTCCTCCCACACTAAGACTCCCACTCCCGCGCACTAGCATCCGAACCAACAAGAGTGATAAATATAAGTTGAAATAATTTGTTTCATACCTGTTTCAACGTATATTGATCAGTCTTGTTAACCAGAACGTTAGCGCGCGGGGGTCTTAATGTGGGAGGAAACCTGACTACCTGGAGATAACCCACGTGGTCGGGCAGGTGACCTCATACCTTTTCACGTCCGATCGGGGATTCGAACCCAGACCGCCTTAGTGAATGGCGAGTGCGGTGTCCACTGCGCCACCGGCCACCCATGAGGAACAAAAATGATCACGAATGGAATGCAACCGACACATTGATACTGAAGAGGAAAGGAAGAAAGTGAAACAATAGGTCAATGAATAAAGAGACCAAGATGTTTTGAAACAGCAGCACGAACAATACATAAGAAGAAAAATGAGGCCAAAAAGAGCGCAACAATGAACAAACAGGTTTGAAGGCAACAAAGAAACAAAAACGGAAGAGGCAACACAGAACTGAGATAGCAAGACATTGTAATATACAAAATGATGTATTTAAAGATCCATCAATGGACATACGAGCACCAACACCGTTGGTCTGAAAAGATATTCTGATGGAATAATCTTACCAAAGCACATGGAAAGTTCAAGAGAAGCATCTTAAATCAGTAATTGGTCAACAGGGAGGACCTAGCCACACTGTCAAACAGTGATGTTAATATGCCCTTATCTGGTCTAGACACAACTGAGATAACAGTACATGACATAATGGATGGCAGCCCAGAAGAAATTGAATTGGTGGAAATCAACAGAACTAGTGGAATGTCACGGATGCTCCAAAACCAAAAGGAGATTACTGAAAAAGAAACCACCGGTATCTTGTAAGTGTAGACAATATGAAGGGACGGATATATATACCTCAGCGGATTGTGGGAAAAGTGCTGTTAGGTAAGCTGCATAATAAAGGAGACAAAACTTTATAATCAAATAAATAAAATTATTAATTGATAAAACTGAAGAGTAAAGTATTCGCAAGGGTCACCCCGGGATACAGCTTCATGGACCGAACCAGTCAGAGTAAGAAAGGGTAGATTATGATGTGACCACGTATTTCAATGTGCTTATAAACAACACCGAGAAGTGTAACGAGTGGGAAACACACACCATACACAACATACACCATATCCATTGACTTTTGAGTCATTATTTTTTACACAGCCGGCCATGCAAGGTAGAGTTTTCCCATGACGGAAAGCCATGTGAGTTGAATCTGTATACCATGGGCATGCTGGTATAATGCAAAAACAATGAGATGACGTCAAGTTTGTTTTGCTGAAGTTTATTTTCTCGTTTCATTATTTTATCAATTTTCATTGCCATCTTATTCATAATTTGAAGTTTATGCATTAAGTTTATACATTAAGTTTATACATTAAGTTTATAAGTTTATACATTAAGTTTATAAGTTTATACGTTAAGTTTATACATTAAATAAGTTTATAAGTTTATACATTAAGTTTATACATTAAGTTTATGCATTAAGTTTATACATTAAGTTTATAAGTTTATGCATTAAGTTTATAAGTTTATACATTAAGTTTATACATTAAGTTTATGTATTAAATTTATAAGTTTATACATTAAGTTTATACATTAAGTTTATAAGTTTATACATTAAGTTTATACAAAACTGTGATACGCTCTTTGCAGCAGTACATATAATTTAAAAAAATGGTTTCAGTATTATAGAAGTTGATGTTTTGCCACAAGTTGACGGTTACAAATCTTGACCAAATAAGTTAGTAAGCGATGTTAGAAAATACCTCTATGATTACCCATCCTTGGGTACATAGTTTGGGTTAATCGGCAAGCCTCGGTTTTTGTTTCAAATTGTGTACCCTCGGGTGGCAAACATAGAAAATCGTATAGTCTACATCAATGAAAAAAGGCCGAAATACAAGAAACATTTATTAATACAAATACGAAGAGCTATGTACATATTTTTTATTGTCTAAAATTGTTACAAATTATTCGTCACCACTTGTAACAGCATACATTATGTATAAAGCCATCTCTTATCAACATTTCAGTAACATGTGTTTTCATAAACACAGTCAATTGGAATCATTAAGAAGACAGGAAGTCAAAATAAACATCCTGAAATTCAAGAACATGATACAAATCTTTGATCAAATAAAACTTGGTGTGTCTCAATAGTTAATATCCGAAGCTATTTTTTCACGAAACAGATTTAACATACAATTATCGCTAAACAGTAGTGTACGAGCAAAGTACGATTGATGCTAATACAAAGATACGAAAATAATGATTCCTATTTTATAAAAATAGCTAAAATGTATGCAGCTTGAAACTTGGACTGAAAAAACACATACTTGAGAGAATTGCAGTTTTCATAAAGTCTGGAATTTGAATAGCATGTTTTTACTATAAATATGATTTTGAATATCAATCACAATTTTCAATACATGTACAAAAATAAGCTGCTTTAAAATACAGATCCCAAGATTTCTATTTTTAATCAAATACTGCATCGTTTGGCACACTGTAACGGGAGCAAGGTAGTCCCATCTATAATGATTTCGGTTTTATATAACTTCTGCAGTTGAAGAAAACAAAATGAACATCTACACTGTATGCTAGTTAAAAAATACCCATGCTTAAATAGTGACCGAACTATAGGTTAATCCTCTTCAATATTGATGAAACATCCTCTCAAACAAAACAAGAAATATTATAGTCCTTGTATTATTGTATGTGATTCCTATTGTACACAGTGTATACTAGTTATCATAGATCAACTACGGTGTAATGGCAACAACCATCTTCAACTACACAACTTTTATCATTATAATTCTTACTGTCTTTAAATAACGAAATAATATCATGGAGTTCACATGCGGTCTTCAAATAACAAAATTATCGCAATTTTTAAACATGTTTAAGTAAATAATCGCGTTGAGTTCAAATGCAAAATGTGAAAAGGCAAAATGTTGTAAATTTTATCATCCTTGAAATCACTAAACACTGACGTCAAAATGATTATAATCGAATGACGTCAAATGCATAGTTATTAAAACAGTTGAACTGAGTATTTTTTCTTTTTATGTGGAAATGTTATACGATGACGTACGGAATATCAGTATCTGTTTTGGTACCTAAATACTAAATACTAGCCGATTCCTTCCGACTCGACTAGAGAGAATTTCACTTTAGCTCATTCGGTTGAGCTTAAGACTAGTGAACCAGAGGTCCTCAGTTCGACCCCTAGCAGAGGTATTGAAACAATAATGACCTCTGTTACATTTAGTATAAACTTCCGGGTTGAAGACGTTTATTTTGGTATGTTTATGCTATTGTTATTCTTCTTGAAGGTTTTTAAAGTTTCGGCGCACATGATGTTGTTGGATCCCTTTTTGTTGGTAGAAGGAAAGAGTTCTGATTTCCGTGTGGGTTGTTTGCTGTCAAACTGTCACCACTTTTAGTTCTAACTCTGATGTTGTGCTTGATTAAATTGTTGTTTGTCCACAGGTATAGCCACTAGACTCTTACTAATCTCACATTCGTCTAGTGTTTTGAAACCCCATTCTCTCGGCTAGGATGCGGCATTGCTTTCTCTTCTAAAGTCAGCAACGCCGAACCTTGCAGCTGTTTGTTGAATACAGATTTCACAATATTTGTGACGATATCCGTAAATGCTCCTACGTCCAGTGAGTTTTATTGGGTATCAATAGCCGTGATTCCTGTCACACACAACGCGACAAATTATAGTTTTTGTACGCGACGTTATACTCAGTGTTACTAAAAGCGTCTTTTAGACATCGAGCAAACTGTAAGTCACATTCGCACACATCGTGTTGACATAGCCAGTTACCTGTAATAAAACAATGATATATATATCATATACAATATAGATCGCGAACAGTAACTCGACCACCTGGAAAGATGAACGTACACACACAGGTGACTACACCTTTATAATTAAGTAATAGATACAGTATCCCAAATGTTTCGTCCTACTAGGACTTATCAGTGACGCTAGGGAGCCAAAAAGTTGGAAATCTGAATTGTACAAACAAGGGGCTAATTCATATTTACGTATGTACATATGTATTTCATGAAGTGCGTCATAAATACTCGTCACGAATTTTTCATTTTAGCTCGCCAGACTCGTTTCATAAATCTCATATGGAATGGAAAATCATGTAAGATCCTATATATTGTACACCCCATTTCACGTGACGTGACGTCACAATGGCTCGACAAGACGTGAAGTCACGAATTTAGAACTCCCTGATGCCGCAATGCGGAATTGCGACGTGATGAAATTAAAAACCTTTTTACGATATATTTACCGTACACGTTAGAAAGATGTGCTTAATTTGCCTGCGCAAATTCTGTTTGCCAATATGGGATATGCTTAATCTGGCTGGCTGATTCGTTTTCGTCTAAAAAGCTCAGGAGCAAAAATTATGTTTTCTTAATGGTGGCTAGTCCAAACAAATTTTCATGATTTCTGAGCCTATTCTTGTGGTTGGAATGAGAGAAAAATATTCTTTCATGCCCAAGGGTGTATGATAGGAAAATTCCACCCACGAGAGCCTCGGGTTTTACCAAATTTGAAAACCCCTCCGTGGAATTTCCCTATCCTACACCCCTGAGCATGAAAGAGTCTTGTAATATTTCACACTTTTGTTATAGATCCAGAGAGTCTGATATATAAATACTTTTAAAAGATAATGTTGTCATATAAACGTGTTGTATATCCGATATATACCTACATGTATATTTATCTGAATTTTTAGGGGCAAGGTGAGGTAAGTAAGACGATGTTACCTGTGCACGTGCATGTTTCCGTCTCGTGATCGCACGTATACCAGTAGTGAAGTAGCTGGGGAATGTACCAGTAGCATCTGTTTAGGTCACCATAGCAAGTATCATGTTCATAGCAACACCTGCAAGTAAAATGGAGAATACTTGCTCTTTACAATGTTTACAAATAAAAATAGGGAAAACATGTTAAAAAGCAACATATTATTACGTAAGATGGAGGATCGATGTTCTTTTCAATGTCAAGAAATAAAACGGGAGAAACCATGTTTAGATAGCAACATAAACAAGAAAAATGGAGGTTCCATGTTTTTTTTACAACGTTGACAATTAAAACGAAATGTTTATAGTAACAGTAAATGACATATTTCGTAAGATATAAAGAAAAATTGTTTGCACGGAGAAGAGATAATATTGCGTTAATATTCACACACACATATGTTTAAAGACAAAATTAAAAGTTCAAGCTTTTCGTCCAGTTTTGTTTTCAAATGTTCGCGAATAAATCGTTCAAAGTACTAAGTACAAAGTACAAAAAAGATAACTACATTGTATATGCGAACATTTGTCGATTTACAATAAATTAAGCGATTTAGATTTAAGTAAATTACAAAAAGTAAATAGATTTATCGAACATGAAGCTATTTGCAGTAATTTTTCGAATTCACTGAAATTAATGGTTTCGTTAACACCTTTTATCACTTTGATAGGTCAAATGATGGAACGCATCAGTGCGAAAATTGGAAATTGATTCAAACCGAACAATATCAATATAGTTGAAGTATTTTAAAATGAAACAAGTTTCATGTATGTAGACATATCTGTGTGCCTTGTTTTTAGTTATCTCAAAACCTTCATACATACAGCGCCTAACACAACGTTTGTAAAACACGCGACGAACCATTAAAAAATAAATTCCTTTTTAACTTTGAACCATTGTTTACCATCTTTTACTGGTTTTAGGTAATTTTTGAATTCAATACAAAAAAACGTCCTAAAATTATTTAATTTTCGTTTTTTTAAAAATTGATTGACTCTAATAAGATAAACAATCTAAAGAACGGTTACTTGTTACGGAACTTCTATCTATGCAATAGTAAAACGATAACTTAAAAAAATGTTTTACAATTATTAATCTACAACAATAAGTACCTGTCTATGTTGTCAAGTGGCTGGTCCCCGTTCTGTCCCAATCCACAAAAACAGCCATAATCATTAACCGTTAAACATGATACATCACTATGGAATTGTATAAGGTTGCAAAGCTGGAACACGCTTCTCTTCTGTATAGACCGGGAACACACTAGTCTCACTGTCATAAACACAGGTAGATCAGATCATATCTATGTCATAGGCAAAATTGGATAAGGTTATATCTATGCCATAAACACAGATGGATAAGGTCATATCAATGTCATAAACACAGATGGATAAGGTCATATCTATGCCATAAACACAGATGGATAAGGTCATATTAATGTCATAAGCACAATTGGATAAGGTCATATCAATGTCATAAACACAGGTAGATAAGGTCATATCAATGTCATAAACACAGATGGATAAGGTCATATTAATGTCATAAGCACAATTGGATAAGGTCATATCAATGTCATCAACACACATCGATAAGGTCATATCAATATTATAAACACAGGTACATAAGGTCATATCAATGTCATCAACACACATGGATAAGGTCATATCAATATTATAAACACAGGTACAATTAAGGTCATATCAAATGTCATAAACACAGGTACATAATGTCATATCAATGTTATAAACACAGGTACATAAGGTCATATCAATGTCATCAACACACATGGATAAGGTCATATCAATATTATAAACACAGGTACATAAGGTCATATCAAATGTCATAAACACAGGTACATTAGGTCATATCAATGTTATAAACACAGGTAGATAAGGTCACATCAATGTTATAAACACAGTTAGATAAGGTCATATCAATGTCATAAACACAGGTAGATAAGGTCATATCAATGTTATAAACACAGGTAGATAAGGTCATATCAATGTCATTAACACACATGGATAAGGTCATATCAATGTCATAAACACGGGTAGATAAGGTCATATCAATGTTATAAACACGGGTAGATAAGGTCACATCAATGTCATAAACACACATGGATAAGGTCATATCAATGCCATAAACACAGGTAGATAAGGTCATATCAATGTCATAAACACGGGTAGATAAGGTCATATCAATGTCATAAACATAGGTAGATAAGGTCATATCAATGTTATAAACACAGGTACATAAGGTCATATCAATGTTATAAACACAGGTAGATAAGGTCATATCAATATTATAAACATTGGTAGATAATGTCATATCAATTCCATAAACACGGGTAGATAAAGTCAAATCAATGTCATCAACATAGGTAGATAAGATAATATCAATGTTATAAATACAGGTAGATAAGGTCATATCAATGTCATAAACATAGGTAGATAAGGTCATATCAATGTTATAAACACAGGTAGATAAGGTCATATCAATGTCTTAACACACATGGATAAGGTCATATCAATGCCATAAACACGGGTAGATAAGGTCATATCAATGTTATAAACACAGGTACATAAGGTCATATCAATGTCGTAAACATAGGTAGATTAGGTCATATCAATGTTATAAACATAGGTAGATTAGGTCATATCAATGTTATAAACACGGGTAGATCAGGTCGTATAAATGTTATAAACACAGGTAGATAAGGTCATATCAATGTCATAAACACGGGTATATAAGGTCATATCAATGCCATAAACATAGGTAGATAATGTCAT